TCGAAAATGCAAAATTGCAAATAATTCAGTTTGAAATATAATAAGTGAAATATCAAACTCTCTCTCTCTCTCTCTCTCTCTCTCTTTCTCTCTAAGTACAACCTCTCTTTCTCTCCCTCTCTTTCTCTCTCTCTCTGTCTCTCTCTTCTTCAATAAACACAGTTCTATATATAATAATAACCACTAACCAAGTTCTACATAATATATATATATATATAAATATATAATATAATAAATATATAATAACCATTATTAACCAATAACCAACAGTTTGGAGAAGTTAAATGAATGAAAAAATAAATTGGAAAGCTGTTTTTTTTGAAAATTAATTACCATAGGATAATCAAGGTGGATCTTCAATGCCTTAGTTAACTGCTGTTGGAATGTTATTATCTCCTTATCTGGAAATATTATTCCATTCATTCATTTATTTATTTATTTTCTCATTCATTCATTCATTCATTAATTCATTCATTCAATCAATCAATCAGTCAATTTTTGACTTAATATCTCCCATGTTTTAACAGATTCTGTACTTGCCAGAATCTGATTTCTATAGAATACTAAAAAAAATCTATGTAAGAATCTAAATTTGGTTGAATTTACTGTAAACATCACATAATAAAAATAGTATTTAAAAATATATATAATTATATTATGTAATATTACATCAAAAAATTATATATATTATATATATATATTTAAATATTTATTGAATTTTATGAAGATATTACATAATTGAAAGTTATCTTGAAGAAAGATTAGCTACTAACCCAGTACCACATTGGTTGAATTTGAATCACCATAGTAAGCCCCAAGTTTTAGCAAAATATTCCCAACTTCAGAACCATCATCAAAGACATTGGCAGCTGATGTCAGGACTGTTGTTGACGTCATTGATGATGCCTTTGTCGTTAAAGATGATGATGTCAAGCCTGTCAAAGGAAAAACACTTAATTCGTGATCTTTTCTTGGGTCTGGAATATTTGTCTTCTGCCCTGCTTTCGTTGATCTAGTTGATAAACTAGATCTTTCACTTTTTTCCTCTGAGGTTTTAAAATTTGTAATAAATAAATTAATAATTATAATATTAATATGTGATGTGTTGAGTAGACAGAGATGAATCTTGATGCTATCTATTTTTTCAGTTTTTATTTATTTTATTTTTATTAATATGCATCCCTAATTGTCATTGACCACCCCCAGGCACACTTACATACAGATGAGATATAATACTGAATACACACACACAGAAATTTTAGTCAAGTTGATAAGAGGACAATATATTATTTAGCAAGATTTCTTTTTTAAGCTTGCATTTATTTTTTATAAACAAATGAATTTTGAAATGTTGAAATGGGTATTAATAAAAAAAATCAATTCGATCTCACTCAATCTGTCAATCAAAATCAATCAGCCAATGGCCCTACCTAACATATAAATAAAAATACGAAACTAATCAAAAAAGTTTTTTAAGAAAATCTAATAATTAATAAAATGATAAAAATCCTACTTGTATTTTCTCTTCGCTCCGACAGTTTTCTTTTCACGGAAGGCATTTTTGTTTAAAAAAAATGAAAGTTTAAAAAGAAATTAACTAAAACTAATTAATTGAACAATTTTAAAGTTTTAAACTCAAAGCGCTAGTTTACTTTTTGCAAAGTACATAAAAGTTAAAAGTAAAAGTTTTTTGATAGATAATTTCTAGAATTGTAAGTTGTAACATTTATTTTTGTAAAAAAAATAATTATTTAAATTTAATTATTTATTTTTAATGATTTTTATGTTTGTTTTTGTGATTTTTCACTAAATAAAATTTTTGCTAAAAACTACACTATATAACCTTAGTTGATTTGTCCACATCTCTAAAACTCGTTCGGTCATTGTTTTGTTCGACAGAAAATCAGTTTTACGGTCGTTTTTTTCTGTATTGTAAATATAAATTATTGCAGATTTTTAAAATGGCGAACGTTAAAAAAGCTAAATTTGGAGGTTTGTTGATAAATTTTCACATTTATAAGATAAATTTCTTTCGATGATTAGTGTTCTTTCGGTCCGATCCAATGATACGTAAAAATGATAAAACGGGAATCACGTTGATTGACGTTGCGCTACCTATTGAATTTTTTCAAATTGGAAATAATTTTTTGGTCAGATTTCTCTTTTGGAGATGAAAGAAAAGAAGATGAGCCATCGGCCAAAAAGAAGAGAAAATCAAGATGGGCAAACGAGAGTGAGTCTGAAAAATCCATATTAAATGGCTTGCCAACCAAGGTTCCAATGGGTCTGACTAAAGAGCAAGAGGAGCAGTATTTATGTAATATTTTTAAAAAAATTCAATAGTGAATTTCATGAATTACTATATCATGTATGTCGTATATGTTGTATATTCATCAGTTTAGACTGTTTAGTGAACAAATATCTGTTGACTCCTTGGTCAAAAAAATATTACTCTCTAAATGACTACTAAACTAACTGTAGGTATAGTTTTCTCATTTACTATCATAATAATAATTCCTTATTTTAAAATTTCATTTTATTTTTATAATTTTTTTCAGCCAGATAATTTGTGAATTACAATATGTTTCTGGGGTAATAGTTATGTTCATGCTTTATTTTCCACTTAAGCTTAATTTTAAAAATTTCATATAGTACAATTACAAATTGAAGAGATAACGAGGCGTCTGAGGACGGGAGAGTTAGGCATTCCAGAGGATGTTTCTAGAAGGTGGTTATTTTTCTGCAATTTTATTTCAATAATCTTGAATTTTATTTTATTTTTGTAGCACTTAATTATTGATTTTAACTTAAAAATAGCCACTGTTAAGTTAAATATCTTATTTTAATAAACTGCCAACTTTTTATGCTGATAATTATAGATATATATTATATAATTATATTATTGTTCTCTATAATAAATTATATACTCTTATAAATAAATTCAGGTCCCCCTCCCCCCAACCGGAATACGGTCCCGATGGCAAGCGTACCAACACGAGGGAAGTTAGGGTTAGGAGGAAGTTAGAGGAACAGCGCCATATAATCATACTCAAAGTTCAAAAGGCTAACCCCGAATACAAGCCCCCTATGGATTATAAGTAGATGATTTTTTGTTTTTCTGGTTGATGGTTACTTGTGTTTCTTTTTTTAGTCTACAATTTCAACTTTAATTATTTTATTAATATTTTTCAAGAGATGATTCTTAAAAGGATGACTTCCTCCTTAATTTTTCATTTTCATCATCATCTTCCAGTTATAATAGCCCACCATTAACTTGACAATCATTAATGGAAAACTCAATATTGACGTTCAATAAATAGATAATTAATTAATTAACCAATTAATTAACTAACCAATTAATTAATTGACCATTTTTTACAACCAGGGCGCCGAATATAAAGATAATCGACAAGGTCTTCATACCTCAGGACGAACACCCGTCTATAAATTTCATAGGGTTGCTGCTGGGTCCTCGAGGTAACACCTTGAAGCAACTCGTTAAGGAGGTGGGTGGGGGAAGATACGTTACTGGGGGGGTGTGATGGAGATGTGTGGTGATGGGGAGGAAAGTTTATGATGATGGAGATGGCGATGCCTTCTTGATTGGTGTGAATGAACCGGTGATGGTGGTGACCTCTTTTGGTGATTGAATGGGATTGGAGGTAGTGTTGAGTGAGGATTAGGTTTCGTTCAGTTGGTTGTGGTAGTCGTGGTGATTTGATTGATTATGCTTGGTGAAGGTGATATAAATGATGGTGATGGCGTATAATAATTGGGATGAAATGGAATGTGATGTAGTAATGGTGATTCTGCCTGCGTGACTGTAAAGATGGTTAGAAAGTCGATTTTTGAGATTATTAAAGGATAATTATCATCATTTTTACTATCATCATCATTTTTCTGTCAACATCGTCATCATCATCATCATTCTTTCACCATCCTCAACATCGTCATCATCATCACTAATAACCCAAACAGACAGGGGCAGCCATCATCATAAGAGGCAAGGGTTCGGTGAAAGAGGGCAAATTAGGTTCCCTGATTTTATAATTTTGTATTTTTTTTTTAATGTTTTGTTCTTTGCTTTCCATATCCATCAAACTGTTGCGTGCTATTTTTTCCTTGTAAAACATACGTTCCAGTTATCATTTACATTGGTTGATTCATTCTAATAGTATTGAAGGTTTTTATATGTCCTGTTTCATTTATATTAAACCATTAAGTATGAATTAATGAAGTGCATAGAAACATAATCATATAATTAATTAACGAAGTGATCAATCAGAAAGGTTAATTAATTAATTGATGACCTTTTGACCTTGAAGGTTACAAGACCTTGCCAGGGCAGGATGAACCACTGCATGCTTACATAACGTCCAATGATCCCGACTGTGTCAAAGCTGCTTGCACCAGGGTTAGTTGGATGGTTGGTTGATTGATTGGTCAGTCGTTGGATGGTTGATTGGCTGGTTGGTTAGTCGTTGGATGGTTGGTTGATTGATTGGTCAGTTGTTGGAGGGTTGGTTGGCTGATTGGTTAGTCGTTGGATGGTTGGTTGATTGATTGGTTAGTCGTTGGATGGTTGGTTGGCTGGTTGGTCAGTTGTTGGAGGGTTGGTTGATTGATTGGTCAGTTGTTGGAGGGTTGGTTGATTGATTGGTTAGTTGGCTGGTTGGTTTGATTGATGGGTTAATTGGTTGGTTGGTTTGACTGATTGATTGAATTGATCGCTTATTCTCAAATTACTATTACAAAAATGTTTTTGTTTTGTTTCCGTGTCAATTCAAATCATTCATCTATTTTTATTTCTCCAATTTGATTTATTGAAATAAAATGAAAAATTTATTGATTGATTGGTTGGTTGGCTGATTGTATGTTATGCTTCTCAATCACCTATCTCAATCACACATCCCTATTCCTGGTTGACGACCCCCAGATTAGGCAAATTATTGAAGAGGGGATAGCAGTACCGGACATCGAGAATGAACTTAGAAAGCAGCAGCTACGAGAGCTTGCATTACTTAATGGTACTTTGAAGGAAGGAGATGCCTTGAGGTGTGTGTTGTGTATGTGTCTGTGTTGTTTGGTATGTCTGCGTTGTGTGTTGTTTTGTATGTGTTTGTTGTTTTGTATTTGTGTGTGTGTGTGTGTGTATGTGTTTTTTTGTATGTTGTGTGTGTTTGTGTGTCTGGCATTGTTTTTATTATCTGTCTTACTGATATATTGTTTGCAATGCTTTATTGTTTTCACCACTCTGTTTCCTATTCAATTCATCAAGAGTAACAACAAAGAAAGAGTTAAACACATACACACACACATACACATGCATGCATACATAGGATTAATCATAGTGATATAAAAAAAACTTTGAAACTGACAGCAAACTGAAGCAGATAGCCGAAGCGCAGACCATAGTGACCAACACGATCGTTTGTGCCCTCTGCGGAGGGGCTGGCCACATCACGCAGGACTGCAAACAGAAAAAGTGCGTCACTTCTTCCTACATCGTTTGCATCACTTTATTGTATTTGGTATTACTGCCTATTTGTATTATATCTTTTTTACTAGAATTCAAAATTTTTGCCAAATTTTTTCTACGCAAAATAGTGGCAATGTCGGTGATGAGAGTTCTGCACCAGTGAGTAGTAGTAACAGTAACAGCAGTGATGCTGCTACACCGTCCGTTATGTCCCAGTTCTGCTCGTCTTCAACGTTCACAAACTACGGCAATTTGGATAACGAGGTTCTTTGGTTTTTGTCTTTTTGGTTTTTTGTCGTTTTGTCTTTGGTTTTTGTCGCTTTGTCATCATTCTCTCGTTTAGATGTTTTTTTTAAATATTTTTAGAAATAAATAATTTTAATTTTTTTAATATAAATTATTGGAAAGTTGTTTCTATTGATATTTGTTGTTGATGTGATGAGTGACTACCGAGTGACTAACTTAGTAAGCTCTATTCTTTTCAATGTAGTACTTGTCCCTGATGGCAGAACTCAACCAGACCTCTTCATCATCAGACAGCAGCAGTAGCAAAAACAAGAATAATAATAATAATCCTATTGTTAAAAATATGAATAATAATATGAGTAATATTAATAATAATAATAACATTCTTCCAATGAATCCATTGGTACTACCCCCACCAAGAGTAATTTTTAAATTTTGAATACATTTTAATTTGCTTTTTTTTGTGTGTGTGTTTATCTATAATTTTATCCGTGTATTCTATATAGCTATTACATTAACAAATTTTCCATTAAATCAAAATTAACCTGTTCCTCTTGTCTATATCAGAGGAATAATTCAATCATTTTAAATAGATTTATTATTTTCTTTATGTATTTGTTATTATTCAAAGGTAAATAAACACTCATTAAAACTACGCACCGACAGTTCCATCCGGTTCCTCCGCCGTTTGACAGCCCCTCTAACAATCTAGCCCCAGGCTGGCCGGCTCCTGTTTTACCCCTTCCGCAGGGCCCTCCTGTAATCACACCACCGGCCCCCTTAGCCACGCCGCCTCAGCCCCCATTCTACAGTTGGATTACTAAAAAACTGCAGAACAAAGAAAACAATGACGAGAATAATAATAGTAGTAGTAATAGCAGCATGAATCTCCCACCCTTGCCACCATGGGGACCAGCTGGATTTTGCCCACCTCCTCCTCCATTTTTTCCGCCATTTGTGCCGCCATTTATGGGCCCTCCAGTGCCTCCTTTCTGTGGGCCCAGCATTGATCCTAATAACCCCGCCACCAACAATAATATTAACAACAATAGCAGCAGCAACAACATTTGTGGTCAGTATTTGTTGTCAGTGGTGTTGTTAATACTATTGCTGTTGAATTTATCAGTAACAATGATATTTTATTTGATTTTTTTGGTAAATAATAATAGATTATTTGATTGTGTTGATATTTGGGTGTGCTAATACAGATCCGAACATGCCTCTGATGATGGCCCCACCCCAGATGACGAATGCACCACAACATCAACAACACCAGCAACATCAGCTGCAGCAGCATCCAAGCATCAACAACAACAACATGCAGCAACAACTACATCATCGCCCTCCAAACGTGCATCATCATCAACAACAGCAACCACAACAACACCAGCAGTTTCGCCATCAGCAACTACAGCAACAACGACATCAGTTTCACCAACAACAACAGCAACAACAACAGCAGCAGCAACATCGCCATCGTAATCAACAACAGCAACAACATCACGATGAAGAATATTCAGAATATAATGGCAATTATGAGCACGACAACGACTATGAAGGTAACAATTACGAAGATGGTGACTACGCAAACGACTATGATAACAACGACAACGGCCACAACAATGGAAACTATGATAATAATAATTATAATAATAATAATAATAATAATAATGGTGATTACTACTACTCGCGTCATCATCATCACCAGTCCATCCCATCATCGCCGCCACTGCCTTCTTCACCGCCACCATCGTCGTCGTCGTGGCAGCCACCTCCACCACCTTCCGACGACTACTACGACATACCACCCCCTCCCTTGCCACCATTTTGATTTCTATAGGGATCCAAGAGATGTTCATCTCGTTCGCGATGCTATGATTGTTTCATCTTTGTTACAGATTCCTTAGTTTGTATACAAGTGTTTGCTCAGCTATGTATGTCTTTTATAAAATTGCATATATTATCTGTGTATGTACGTTTGTATGTATGTATGTTTGTATGTATGTATCTTGATACATGTGATTTTGAACATGCTTTGAACACTCGAGTTTTATTAGGATGTTAGGATGCATGTTTTGATCTGTTTTGCATGTGCGAGCCATCTCTTTAAATTCATGAAACTATAACGACGATGATGTTCGCGATTCTTATCTCGACAGCAATGGAGATTGTTTGCTCTGTTGATATTGTTTGTGGCGAACTCTTATCACCAGGTTTTTAATGGCGGTGAAAGTTACGATGGTGATGGTCTGAACGACGGTGTTGACATCATTTGTTGTGGTGGTGATGAATTAAATTAACCCACTGTTAATTTTTTATTGTTTTCAAGTCGAGTGAGTTAATTGATTGTTAATTAAACCTCACGTACAACTTTACTGTTAGAAACTTTGCAATTATATGTCTTTTGAATACAGAAATTTATCTAAAATTGTCGTTTAAATTCTATTTAATTAATGACTGATGATAGACAAGTTGTAACTTGTTTAGTTAAGGGTATACACATGTGTTAAACTTTGTGTGTGTGTATTCTGATTACAAGATTGAAATGAATATTTGCAAATATCTTTATTCAAACACACCGACGTGTAGTTGAAACATTTTTAATTGAAAATAAATTGAAAAATGATGAAATCAGTAAATTTTTATAAATATTTAAATTCAATGAAATAAGTGAATACATCAATCAATCACATCAGCATATGCACTTAAAGAACAAGTTACATCCAAACATAAAAAGATTTTGAGACTGTTTTTTCTTGTTTTTTCAAAAACTAGTTTTCTTTTTTTTCAACAATAAATTAAGTTAAAACCAAATCGAATTATTTATAACTTGAATAATGAATAAAAAAAAGTTGAAAGAAAAATGAAGTGATGAATAACGTGGGTACATTTTGTATCTACATTTTGTATAAATTCGTAACTGTCATTTTAAAAAGAAAAGCTGGAAAATGGAAAGACAGAAAGGTTTGTGATGGAGGACTGAGCGACATCTCTTCCTCTTTATCACCATCGCTGACCGATATCAATGCATTTTTTATTTTTGGTAATTTTCTCTGATCCAATCTTTGTTGAACCAGGAAACCTGACCATCCCTCCAAATAACTTCAAACCAATCACCTTCCCCAGCTTCATTTATTCTGCTCACGCCATCTTGAGACTGGGGCTGGCTGTGGTTATTTAATTTATCTTAGAGTAAATAAGGTTCTTAAGCAAAGGATTATATTTAACTCCCTCAAAATTTAGCTTCCAAAAAAATGTAAAAGCGAAATTAAAGACCTTACAATGCCAGTTAATTTGTGAAAACATAGCTGCTATAAATAATGCCAACGGCCCAACAACCTGCTTTTGTTGCAAGAACTTTTCATCCTAAGCCAGGAAGCATCCACCTTCATACAGGAACGTGGATTCATCCAAACCATGACTTTCTCAGGCTGCTGGGTTACGTAGGTCGGTATTCTGTACTTTTCATTCACTCGCGTTGACGCGGAGCGTGTCCCTGAAGAACCAGGCAGTCCCGACAACGCGGCTAGGAAGTTCCTACGGCAACCTCCCAGCAGGGTCGATGGGGTGGTTATTGTCAGCAACTTCTGCACTTGAGACATTCTTCTTTGTCTTCTCTAAATAAATAAACGAAAAAGTTATTTAACGAAAATTATGCACCAAAGCTTTGCAAGTTGAAGAAAGTTAGTAAGTAGTTAATTGATTCAACCTCATTTAGCAGAATTTGAGAATGCTTGCACGAGCAAAATTAAAAATCTGTAAAAACCCAAATCTATTATTAACTTACGCTAAAAATTCTCGACACAAGTCAGCTGAAGTTAACGATCTTTCAGAATGTATTGAAAAAAATCAATTTTCAGCACAAAACTCTCTTGTAACACCAAAAAGCTTTAAACACCAAAGAAATTTCAATATTTCACCGTACGACAAATCCTCCCATCTCATATTTATAGGAAATCAAAATGAGAAGAGCCTTGCCTTATCAAAGTATAAATAAACATCAGTCAAAAACCATTGTTCGACGTTGAAACTTTAAGTCACGTGGCCTGCACATATTGCACGCACATACACCACATAAAGTGATGTTATATATTCACATATGTACGGTGTATGTGAATATATATACTGCGTATGGTTTTGTAATCATTAAACAGCAGCATGCGTATACAAGATGGAATCACGTTCTGATCACGTTCCATTTCTGAGCCAACCCTCTGTAAGACACTCGCTCGCTCATTGGTTCGCTCTTTGATACACATTCACATACATAACACACACACCACACATGCATCTGTACATTACAAGTGAAGAGTTTGTATGAGTACAACGACACATGTGTGCGTGCAATACTCTCAAACACACACAGATTCCTACATAGATATTTATATGTATAAATGTATAGGTGGAGCGTGTGTATCATACACATGGCATAATACGTTATAATTACATTATACATAGTACATTAATACAAAATATGATCATCCTACAATATGGCATCGACTCTTCTAGTTTGAACGAGAAAGATTATACTTAAACGCGTGTGTTAATTTATGTACATACTAATATGTGCTTGCATGTATGCGTGTGTGTATGTGCATCTATGAGTGTGTGTATGTGCATCTATGAGTGTGTGTATGTGCATTTATGTGTGTGTGTACAAGTTGTTCGTGCATGTGTGTATGGACGTGTGTGTGTGTGTGCTATGTGCTTTCAAGTGACCTCTTTAATTTTAATTTATTACTTTCATTTTGCCTACAGCAGCAGAAGTAATTTGAGAAGAGGACTTGTAAAAATGAAAATAGAGTAAATTTATTTTAAAGTTGAAAGGATCCCTAATGAAATATATCTATGGTTTTGAATGACGTATTTCATCTGCTACTATTATTGAAACACATTTAGAAGTGCGTGTTCTTGTGCGTGTGCACGTAAGTGTGTAGTTTATGCATGTGTGCGCACGTACGTCTCCACTAATCTTTCTCATCCATTAATACATAACAAGATTGGATTGAAAAAAATACAACTATAGAACTGTGAATAAAACCGAGGAAACAAAAGCGAGATTGAAAAATTGGAGTCTAAATCTGAAACTGGCTGATAGGATGATACGGCAATAACGAACGAATCTATCAGATAACAAGATCGGTAAAAAATAGATGACTCTTATTTATTCCAGTTACATATTCATACGTGCAACCTTATACTTTTCAATGCTTCTAAGTGAGAGAAAGCTCATACCAAAAACTTATAATAAAAAAGCTGAAAATGTTATCATTTGATAGCTTGCACGCGGATGAAGTAAGAGTGCTTGAATGTGATTATATACTAACACATACAAACACACACACTTACATTCATACACACACATATGCAAATACACACACGCACGCAACACATACACATTCTAACACACGCAATATACAATACAAAAATAGCACACATACACGAATATACATAACATACACACATTATACATATGGAATGAGTTGAAAAAATGGGAAGTGGGAATTTTCAGGGACGTTGTCACGAATGGGAATCCGAGAAGAAATCTAACACACACACACACACGCACGCACACACCTATATATAATACAATATACATGCAGATATACAAATATCGATACATACATGATAAATACATCATGAAAACCCTTGATTTAGTTTAAAGCGAATGGTAGTAATATTATAAAAAAATTATTTACACTTGAAAAATAATTATTCTTCATAAATAACAACAATACATATTATTATAATAATAATAAATAACAACAACAAAAATAATAATTATTATTATATTCTAAAAGTATTTTATAACAATAACCTACAGACTTTTTTTTATAACACTTTTAAAGTGTTGACGAGCGAACGTTTTTTTGTCGAATTGAGACAATAAGTAAACAACTAATTTCAAACAGTCGACACACCACACACACACACACACAAATTAATATATATATATATATATACACAAACACACACATACATACATGTTTGTGTGGTTGCCCTAAATTTCAAATGAATTTTCTCCACAGAGACGACGCATATTTCAAGTTCAAACTTCTTTAAAAAAAAATTATTGTTCTTTGCGTAGATATGTATGACGTCGTAATAACACCACCGATTAATGATATTAATAATAATAATTAATAATAATAATTAATAATAATAATTAATAATAATAATAACAATGAAAGAAAAATAAAGAGATAAAGATAGCAGGATGGTAAATTAGAAATGAGAGTACCTATGGAGTAATGAACTATAGTCCAAAATAACAAAGTTTTTGCTGTGCGCGCGCTCTTGGAAACGGTAAGTCAAAAAAAAAATAAAACAAAGTGAGAACACACACACACACACACACACACACACACACACACACACACACACACACACACACACACACACACGTTAAGTTTTAGTCCAAGCTATTTTCATTTCATAACAATACCAATAAATAATAATACAAATAATTAATAATAATTATACTAAAATCAATATTATTAAAAAACCGATCATGATAATTATATGTTGCATGCATCAACCATAATAATATTAACAACAACAAATATAGTAAATAATAATAAAATAATAATTAAAATAAAAATCACCAGAAAACCTATGGATTTTTAATTGAAATAATTTTCAAGGTACAAAATTACAGAATGCATAATAACTCGGCCATCCATCCACCGATTGCGATTCATTCATCAATTCATCCCTACCATCAGTCTATCCGCCAATTCACCCATTCAGCAATTCGTTCATCAATTCATCTATCTAAAATTCATCCAAATATCACTTCATTCGTTCATATTTTAATAAATCTATCATTTTACTCGCCAATTCATCATTTCATTCACTCATTAACTTGTCAATTCATTCATTCATTCGTTTATTCATTCATTCACCCGTCAATTCATTCATTCATCCAAAAGGCCCAGTTTATCTACGATATGTCGGTATTCGTTGACCAGTGACTGAAACTGCTTCTCAATGAGGTCCAACCGAACTTCCGGGTTGATGTTGTTCAGTGTGGCGGCCAGCTCGTTCGGCCTCAGCAGACGACACATCCGATCAAAATGGCGCTTGCTTTTCTATTTTTTGTGGTGACAGGGGTGAGAAAGAGAGTGAGAAAGAAAAGAGAGTTAGTGAGAAAGAGAGAGAGAATTTTTACATGTATGTATGTGTACTTTATTGGTATATTAAAATCATGTATAAACAGCAAGTGTTCAATGCAAAAACAAACGAACACAAACACACACGCATAACACACGCACACACGTACACACACACCCACGTACACACACACACACACACACTTGGAAAGGAGCATTTAGTCTTTTTTTGATGTCAATTCTGAAGGCTTTGAATTCCTCATCATTGAAACAGTTTGTATGTTTTAGCCTTAATATTTCATACACCCTTCTTGCTTGCCTCTGTTGAATGTGCATGTTTGTATGTATGTTTGTTTGTATGTATGTTTGTTTATATGTATGTATGTATGTATGTTAGTATGCGATAAAAATCCGATAAAACCTGTAATTGGTGTATTTACGTAAGCTTATGTGTGAATGTATCTGTGCGTACCTTACTAAGTTTTAGTTTCTCCCTCGCTTCAGTCACCATCTCTTTACTGAATCCGGCGGTGAGATAGTGAGGCTGGTAAGAGGTGAGTTTCGAGCAGTTGAGACTGTCTGTGAAGTCTCTAATTCGTTGGAAGTCGTCGCTTGGGTCCTCGACTATGGAGGTGCATGTGTGTGTGTGTGTGTGTGAGAGAGAAAGAGAGAGAGAGAGAGAGAGAGAGAGAGAGAGAGAAAGAGAGAGAGAGAGAGAGAGAGAGAGAAATGAGATTGAAAAATAGAGAAATAAAAGAAGAAGAAAGATGGATGGATAGATGGAAAGAAAGACAAAGATAAATTGTTTGAAAACGGTAAACTGATCAACCTCTGCTTACAGATTAATAAATAAATTTGAGAATCAACCAACTAACAAACAAACCAACCAACCAATCAATCAACCAACCTGCGACATCTAGGATACTCTTGTCAGACCAGCACCTCTTGTAGAACGTCTGAACGAGAGTACTGCAGTGCCCCTTGCCTTGAAATGGAGGCAAAATTAACACCTGACTGATTGGTTGGTTGACTGATTGTTTAGCTGTGATTGGTTGGTTGATTGTTTAGCTGTGATTGGTTGGTTGATTGATTGGCTGTGATTGGTTGGTTGTGATTGGATGGTTGTGATTGGTTGGTTGACTGGCTGTAATTGGTTGGCTAATTGACTGGCTGTGATTGATTGGTTGATTGATTGGCAGTGATTGGTTGGTTGATTGTTTAGCTGTGAACGGTTGGTTGTTATCATCACAACCAGAATCATCATCATCAGTTTATTATTGGACTTATCAACAACCATCATGTTAATCTTCATCATCATCATTTCATCAGTTCATGTGGCCAATGAATGAGTAAGGTCATCACGTGACATAATAACCCCACCACTATCATCACAATCTTAATCATCATCATCATCCTCATCACAATCATCACTCTCATCGCAATCATCATCATTACATTCATCATCATTATCATCACCTTATCCTTGGCCTAATCTTATCAGGGTATGCATAATAGTTATAAACAGTCATGTAGCCAACGAAAGAATGGATAGGGTCGCCCGTTCTTAAGGAATTGTACTTTTCATAACTGTCAAAAGGTTAAAAGGTTAAAGGTCATTCGCTCACTCTTTCATAGTCTATCTCTCTCTCTCTCACACATACGCACGAACGCACGCCCATGCTTTTGAAATATCAACTACACAAAATGATTAAAATGATAATGTTTAGGAGGCAATGATGAAGATGGTGACGACGACAATGACGATAGTAAAGATGACGTCAACAAAGACAACATAACCCAGACTAACATAACATAGAAAGACCATTTAGGATCGTCGACATCGATGTACGAAGCCGCATCTATGAAGAACAATAAAAATGGCTGAATCCTGGCGTGGAAGGCCTCAAATTTCGGCGCCATTTCTGAGATGTAACGAATTTCATACGTGGTGCTGCTGCTTGCTGGATCGCCTTTGGAAACGTTGCATCGTGGCCTCACTTACAAGAAACTACACCACCGTCAGAAACAACATCCAAACAAAAAGACGGATACAGACAGACAGACACGCAGACAGAGAGACCGACAGACAGACAAACACACACACAGAGACAGACGAACAAACACACCGGATTTATTGACATTATACTGATGTATTAGTTCACCAAATGGAACAAACTCCTCATCCTTTTGCAAGGCAGACGTGAATGCGTCCAAACTCGTGAAGTAACCTGAAGAAAAATTATGGAATAATTAACATCTATTCCATTGAATTATATATCAAATGCAACAGTGTTAAACGAAAACAGACAGACAGACGGACAGACAGAGAGACAAAGAGACAGACAAACATACACATCTGGTTATGATGCATGGCACTATTGTCGAGATGACCCAGTTTAAATTAAAGGGATATCTGACTATTGCATACAATGTGTGTATGTGTGTGTGTGTATGTGTGAATCGTAAATTCTGTGTGTGTGTTTGTTGCCGATGCCTCTGAGAAATAATTTTGAAATGTAAAATAAAAGAATATAAAAAAGATAATTATAATAATTTATTTTAAAAATTCATAATAAAAATAATTATTCCTAATAACCCGGTTCTAATTTTTCATCCAGTAAGTTAACTATGTCATCAGCCTTGGCATGAAAAAAAATTGTTTTTGAATTAAATAAATTAAAAATTAAAGAAAAAACACATATCAATTAATTAATTCATTACAATTCTCCTTCCAGCATTCTTTAGAAGCCTCACCAATGACAACAAACACACAGTGAATTAGCCAAACATTTTTTCTCTATAACTAACAAGTTAATTGATTAAATAATTATTTATTTAATTAATAATCTCCAATATTCAATATTCAATCAAAAAACACACATGTGCAACTGCCTAGCCTAGTAGTTGTTTTATAATTTTTCATTTGATATTACACTAATTAAACTTATAATATAATTATATATGAAAATAATTAACAAAAAAATATATAGCATAATATATTTTAAATTAAATAAATAACATTGTATATAGTGTATATTGTACTATATATATATATATATATATATATATATATATATATATATATATATATATGTATATATATATATGTATATAACCCAAATATAAATATATATATGTGTGCATATTACATTATATATAAATATTATATTATTATATTATAATAAAACTATTTCTTTAATATTATAATTAAATAATATAATTGCAGACCTGAACTCCATCAAATTTTTTAGGGTTAATTTTCTCAGAATAGTCGATTCCGACGTATGTTAACATCTTGCAGGCGGTGTAATACATATTGATCCTTAGGTCCTTGTAACCAAAGATAGTCTCTCTATAACAATGATAATAACTAATTGGTTAGTTATCTGATTAATTAATCAATCAATTAATTGATTAATTAAATGATTAATTATTGTTGAGATATTTTTCACAAGTGTCTGTGTTCTTGAAACTGTAAACTTTACGTGTAATTGTAAGTCTTACGTGTGCAATTATTAATATAAACTATTGTATTTTTTTAACCAAACACTTTTTCTCTATAATTAATAAGTTAACACTAACAGACATCTTAACCACTACACTACCAAAATTACATTAGAAAGTGAATTTAATTACGATTCTCCAAATATCTGATGGGTCATTTCTGGTTTAAATGGAGGACAGGCTTCGTCGTCTGCAATGTCCTCTTCTCTTCTCACTGATTTATTTGAATTTTTAAAAATAGTTTTTTTAAAATTTTTCATTTGGTATTATATTATAAAATATAAATTAATATATATATTAAACTTACAAGCTCTGATATATTATTTGCTATAATAATTATTATACTAAATATTTATATATTATAATCATATTATTCATTAAATATTGTATTTAATTTGAAAATAATTTGAATTTTTTATTTATTTTTTTTACCCAATTTGAAATGGATGACATCGTTGGCGCAAACTTTGAAAGCTTCTAATTTGTGGCCAGCGATAGAAACGGACTCCATGGCAATTTTATAATGATTTATTTTAAAAAATATCTTAAATCCGGCAAATCTAATTAGGGGACGAATTAGGAATACGTCTTCTACTATCAAACAACATTTAGCGCGCTGTAAAGTTTTTCGTTTAAATTTAAACCTTCATAACAACATTGTGTTTATTAATGTTGAAGCGCTATACAATTAAAATTTCTTAGTTTGCAGTTGTGCAACATTAAAATAAAAAAACGCGATTATTAAAAATGACTTCTATTACAGATATTCAAACAAAATAAAAAAAACTTTTACAAACTAAGTTTATCTATATCATAAACTAAGTTTATGCCAACAAAAAAATAAATTCAGTTGTGGCCGTAGCGTAGTGATTAGCAGCTCTTGAGGCGAAGAACCGTGGGAAGGCGTTTTTTCTGTGGCGTCCAACGTGGCGTCTTCAGTTTTGAAGCACTGTTCCCAGAAAAATGGTTGAGGTGTTGTGTTTGAAAAAGTGGTAATTAATTTCACACCAACCTAACACTAAATATTTAATAGAAACCAGATAGAATAGCCCCCTAGCAGAGAAGATTTTTCTAAACCACAACCACCCGCATTCGCAGAATTCACGCCAGCAACTGCACTGCACATTATCCGCGTCCGTACCGCATCTGCACCGTACCCGCGAAAAGACAACCTAAGTAGGCCGTCTTAATCTCATGTTTCAAATTGGAAGATAGCAAAACTGGAAGGCAATCTATTCACAATATAATTATAACCAGACAGCAGATTTCTAATTTTTTTTTTCGAAGATATTAACGGCACTGCAGCTCCCAAGATGGTGCTATAGTGTGCCAGTAATTTTAATGTTTTTTTCTTAATTTTAATTTAATTTAATTTTTCATAATTATGTAGTTATTATAATTACATCTTCAAAATCAATCACAGTCGAAAAGGAAGAATCCGATCAAAATACATCAAGACATCAATCCAGAAAAATAAATGATAATCTTTGACTTAAGTATATTTTACGAGGTAAGATTGTAATAGTTTATTCCAGTCTTTTTAAGCTGACGGGTAACAGATTCAATAACCACACCATAGACCAGAAGCACTAGAAGTTGACGTCAGCACGAAGAGAGAAAACCCACCTACCGTTCGCCAGTCCCACAAACCAATGACTTTCACTCCCGTGCATTCACTCTTCTTCAATAACGTTTTTACTATATAAGTTCCTGGTATGTCGCTTGATTTTTCACCATGGAGGCCACCCACAGACGGCATTCGACACAAAATTGAAAAGATTATAAAGATTAAGGATAGAGTGGTCTGATTCTCTCTTAGCGGCACACGAGCTTCCACCATGGTATTTAGCCACTGTAGATTCTCAATGCACCTTGAGAGAAATGCAAAACTGCGCAAATCCTCCCGAAGATATTAGAGTTTCCACTATGGTATTCAGCCAGAGCAGATTCTCAACACATCCCGAGCAAACCGTACAGGTGTAAAAAAAATTTAATAATTTAATAATTGAAATAACATCGGCTAAAACTTAATAACTTTTCTTTCTCTAGTCAACTATATGCTGATGATTTTTACATTTATACTTCTTTTCCTCCATCTAATCTCGATAGTGTTTTTCATAATTTATCTCTATGTCTTTCTTCAATTATCGCTTGGTCTGACTCTATGTGTCTTAAACTTAATCCTTCTATGTTTAAATTAATTTGTTTTAATAAATCTAAACACTCTATTACTATTCCTCCTATTATCTTACCTGATTCTAAAACTCTTGATGTCTCTCATAAGTTTCGTAGTCTAGGTTTTATCTTTGATTCTACTATGTCTCTCTCTTCTCAGATTAATAGTGTTGCTAGAAGCTCTTACTTTCATCTACGTAGAATAAAAAAACTTTTGCCTTTTCTTGATGATCCTACTCTTCTCCTTCTTGTTACTTCGTTAGTCTTATCTAAGATTGATTATTGTAACTCGCTCTACTATGGTCTTCCTGACTCTATACTCTATCCTTTAAGTAAAGCTTTTAATTCTGCTACTCGTCTAGTTGCTCGTGCCCCTTTCTTTTCTCATATATCTCCATATCTTGTTCTCTTGCACTGGCTACCTATAAAATATAGAATAATTTTTAAAATTTGCACGTTCATGTATAAGTCTCAATCTAAATTATTTCCTAAGTATTTATCAGATATATTAATTGAACCTAAACGCCTCGGTTTACGATCGTCTTCTTCTTCTCGCTTTTTCTTAACTCGTGTTAAACGCTCTTTTGCCAAATCTGCTTTTGCTTTTTCTGGTCCTTTTCTCTGGAACTCTCTACCTACTTCTCTGACTACTTCTCCATCACTTGCGAAGATCTCAAGACCCATCTGTTTTCAAAATTCATTGAGGAGCGCTGTTGAACATCGCGGAAATAGCTCTTTATAAGCTAATTGATTGATTGATTGATTGAAACAACAAGCACAAAATGAACGACGATTTATTTATTCATTTGTTTAATATTTATGAAGATGTTATATATATATATATATATATATATATATATATATATATATTTAGGTTTATATACGAGGTTTTCTGGAGCGCCAACAAATATTCAATCGAACATACCTATCAATAATTTTAACATACCAAAAAAAAACTTTATATATATATATATATTATATATTATATATATATATAACATATATTATCTTTATATATATATATATATATATATATATAACAAAAAAAGAAAAAAAATTAAAAAAAATACTTTCGAGGTTTTCTGGAGCGCCAACAAATATTCAATCGAACATACCTATCAACAATTTCGAGATTTTAATAAAGCAAGAAAGACACATGACTGCTTTAGTTTTATTTGATATCATTTAAAAATAAAAAATATGAATTTTTTAAAAAGTTCAAATTTTTAACAAATGATTATAACAAAATTATTTATTATGTTAAATCAACATACCAAACAGAAATTATTTATACATGCATATATGCAAAGTAAATCAAGAATTACAAAATATTATAAAACCATATTAAATAAAACTAGAAACAAGTCATCATTTAACAAATAAATAAATAGACATTATTGAAAAAATGTTCAAAAAAGTAAAATTTAAGGCGACGACGAAAAAAAATGTAGAATTTTTGTTGGTGTGGTAGTGTGAAGCAAAAACAAACAAACACATAACAAAGAAAAAGTATAAAGTCGTAAGAATAGTAGTCAGTCACCTACCTACAATTAAATTACTCTCAGGGCCCTTGCTTACCTATAATGATTAACTCATCTCACCTACCTACAAATTTATATTTCTAAGTTTTAGCAATTTTACATGTTTCAGATATTGTATTTTACATATTTTAACGTTATTAATTTGCCTTTTTTGTATAATTTAGTTTTTTATTATATTTTTTGTTAGAAACTTATTAACTAATGTTAAACCCTAACCTACCTACTTTTGTCTAACTCATCTCAATCCCTAACTTACCTACGAATTAAATTAAAGTCCGGTAAAGAAAATAGCAAGTTAAAGAGAAAAATAACAACGACAAAAGCGAAAAATGGATGTTGAGTATGTGTGTGTTGTATTGATGTGTGTGTGTGTGTAAATGTGCGCGCGTGTACTCTCCAGAAACTTCTTCACTCACTACGGTCGAACCTCCATTGCACCGACTATCATCTGACACGCATCGTGAATTTGACCGGATACCGAAAAACACTAAATCTGAAAAAAATATTAATTTTTTAAAATAGAAACCAAACCGTTGGAAAAAAGCAACAGGCAACTTATCTTACTGAGATAACAATCCACTCCAATCACTCCAAAACATTCCAATCCTTCGTTCAAATTTGAGTTCTTTCCAAGGTACGACGGCAAAAATTTCCAGTTAATATTTATTATTATTGTTGTTGATGTTTTCTTCGAATTGTCATCGGAACGATCATCACGAGTCCACCAACTGAAACGTGCTGACGCCCACCAAAGCCCACCTCTCATCATTCTGTTGACAATTTTTTTCCATTAGCGTAGTAGTAAATCAAAGAACAAAGGAACGAACGAATAAATGATTAAATGAATGATTGGTTAAATCGTTGAATAAATGAGTGAATGAATTAATCAATCAATGATTCAATGATTGAATAGAATGAATTAAAGAACCAATTAATGTAAGAATAATTTAAAAGAATGAGTGATAAAATGAACAAATGAATGAATGAGAAGAATAAAGAAAACTAAACTACCCCTTACTTCAAAATCGTCGCTACTGTACTCCATTGCACCGACCACCACCATCTGGTCGGCACAAAAGATGTCATCCGAACTTCTGAGTGTCAGTCGAACAGCCAACAAGCTGTTTCTTCCTACACCATCATCATCATATGTAAATCATCATGAGACCACCATCTGTAACGTATTGACTCCCACCACAGTCCACCTCACATTCTGTGGACAAAATTTTTTATTAGCGTAGTAGTAAATGAATGTTCGAACGAAAGAACAAACAAATAAATGATTGGCTGATTGATAAAATGAATGAATAAATAAATTAATCAATCAATGATCCAACAAATGATTATAATTAAACATTTAAATAATTTGAAAAACTGAGTGAGAAAATGAATGAATGAGAAAAATAAAAAAACGAAACTAAACCTTCCTTCAAAAATCGTCGTTACTGTACTCAATTGCACCGACCACCATCATCTGGTCGGCACACAAGATGCCATCCGAACTGCAGAGTGTCAGTCGAACGGCCAACGCGCTGATTCTTCCTACACCACCATCATCATACGTAAATCATCATGAGACCACCATCTGAAACGTGCTGATGCCCACCACTGCCCACCTCTCATCATTCTGCGGACAAAATTTTTTTAAATAGCGTAGTAGTAAATAAATGTTAGAATCTTAGAAACAAAATATTATAGAATGAAAATAATGGCAAATAAATAATATTTTAAAATAATAAAGAGAAAAATGTACAAAAACTTACCGTCGTCCATTCCACAAAGGCAGAATGATGAATGCCTTCCGGTTCCTACGTTGTCCTCCAAAACTGGTGCCAGTCCTCCTCGAGATTGTTGTTGAAACACAGCCCGTGGAATGGAGAAAGATAGAAAAAATATTCTCATCAGAAAGCTTAGCGGTGGTTGCATC